TTATTTACATCATACCTAACGAATAGATCACAGGTAGTATAAATCAGTGGCATTTGTATAGTGAAGCTCTAATAACTAAATACGGAGTTCTGCAAGGTACAGTTCTTGAGACGATTCTATTTATTATTTATGTTAATGGGTTGTTGGATCTTAATATAAATGAAACCATTACTTCATATGCAGATGATACAATTTTTTTAGTTAAAGGAATTGGGATTGTCTGTTTCTGGTTTAAAAATAGTTAAAAATTGATTAGACAATAATAGATTATAGCTTAACTTAAATAAATCTATTTATGTATATGTATTTGTTTTTCAAATACATCTTTCAAATTTACAGAATCTCTAGTAATTCATAACTTGTATACAAGTATTGTATACAGCATATTACTATTTTAATTCGTTAACTTTTTTTAGATTTATAAAGAGCTAAGGCATATTCTGTCTCCTTCATTATTAAAAATAGTTTATTTTTACTTGTGCAGTCAATAGCTAGTCAAAGACGGATAACCTCGCATATTTGGGTAAGCTACTGTTATAGGTAAAAAGTTGGAAAGTTAATATATAGAGGGGAATTTCAATGTTTACCTGTAAGCAACGATAAACCATTGCTAACGAAAAACGATTCTAAGCGGAGTTCAGTTGAAAGTGATGCTTTGTCAACAATATATATGTTATATTATCGTAAAATAATGACAAAGGCATTGATATTTTCTTTAATTATATTTGTTTAATATTGTAATTATTTTCCCGTTTTTCATACGATTTTCGTAGTTTTCCCATGTTTTTCCCATTTATTGGGAAAATTCCTGGGAAAAATTAAAAATTATCTTCTTAAAGTACCTCCCCAGACAAATTTTCTTTTAGAAAAAATGCTATCACTGTAAATTGGAGCGAAATTGTTGGTAGAAAAGTTGTTCACAGGAAAAAATAATGCCGTTATATATTTCTTATACTTTCCAGTTTTCCCTTAATTTTTTTTAGTTTTTCACGTTTGATGAGAAAACTCCTGAGAAAATCAAAAAATGACCGAAAATGATGTAAAGTACCTCCCCACACCGGTTTCCTTTCAGAAAAGGTTCTACATTTAAACATCTGAGCATGATTTCTAGTAGAAAAGTTATCCATAGAAAAAATAAATAAAAAAATAAGCTTCTTCGCTCCACTCAGAATCTAAAATAGTTTATTTTCACTAGTGCAGTCAATTGCTAGTTTACGTATATTAAACTAAGTATATAGTATATAGAAATCTAAGGCGGAACAAACGATACTACGATATTCATCTTGTGTGCTTAGAAACGATGCGTTGGTTAGTAAAAATAATTTTGCAAAAGTCTAAGTTTTTTCCGACAGTTAATTTGTTTTGTAATTTTAAAGTATACAATTTAAAAGCTCTTTATTATAAAAAAATAGTCTTGAATCTATTTAAAGCTGATGTGGAGATTTTTATATAGTATTATAAATATTCAAGGCAAAGACTATAGAAGGAATATAATATTTTAATCCATCCCTAGAAGTTATAAATTATTTGATCATGCGTTACTAGGTTAAAACTGTTAAAAGACATTTTGAGGGGATTATCATGCATTAAATTATCTATAATAAGGGCTGCACCCATTCCCATTATCCTAGGACGTCTTTTTAATTTTCTGTACTATTACTATTATTATACAATATTTATACTGTTATTTAATCACTAACATAATCTAGTTTTCCCCGAGAGACGGACATTTTCTTTACGTGAACAACTGGCATACACGGGCTATCAGCACGAAACGATTTTATTTTAATGGTTGTGTTCACATTAGGCAAATACCGGTCTCACTGAGTTATGAAAAAATCTGGAGCTTAATCACCCCTTGTTCAGATGTCTAATTGAGTTTAGTTAACGATTTTATTATTTTTTAAATATTTTTTTTTTTTATGAAAAATAATCGTAGAGACCTGAAATTTACATAGAATATGTATGTTATCATTTTCTAGACACAATCAAATTTTTCTAAATATCCCTGTGGTTTATAGACACTTAACTTTTTCTATATTTTTTGGTTTTCATTTATTTGTAAATAAAATTGTTTGGTCTATTAGAAATGTTTGACAATTTAACACAAGGTTTATAATAAGTTGTAATTAGATATCAAAAAAAAAAAAAAATGAACATAATGTAATAATTTTTTTTACAAGCGTTTTAAGTTTAAATTTTGGTGAAAATCGTTATCATTATGACATTTCAAAATATGTGCTATGAACTTCACTCAGAATCATATTTCATTAACTGTTATTCATTGTGACGTCAAAATTTGAACTCTTTTAAAAAAAAAAACCTATACAACACAGTGTGTATGCAGTGCCGAGTAACTAGCGGGGGTTTAGGTTTCTAGGTTACGTTATGGATCACTCAATGAGAGCCCTCTCGGTTAGGAAAAATTGGGTCCCCGTTATTATCAAAAGTCCGAACAGTAAATTTGAAAGTGGTGAAAACATAAAAATATAATATATTGTATATATATATACTCATTATATTTTATATTAATTATCAATTGATAATTGTATCTGTGTAAATTATTCTTTAGATTCTTAAATAACTTTTCATCCTACAAAACCAACCTACATTTAGTTACTAAATCAATAACGACGAATTGGTAGTATTGTATTTTATACAATGTGATTCACTAAATATGCTCTCCACACTTTTTGATTAAATTTAGCATATATTTAAATTCTGATTTTTTTAAATTTTTTGAATTAATTTGATTTAATTTTTTAATTTTTTTAAATACTTAATATGCTTAGATTTTTCACAACATTTAAAAAGTATTCTGTGGTGATACCAATTTTAGTTTTTCAAACGGGAACCTGTACTAAAAATATATCAACAAATAAAGTATCAGTTTAAATAGATGTTGGTGTTAACATTTTACATTTTTGATTTCCGTCAATCCGTTGACGAGATATTCCATTTTCAAATTTAGGTAGGGAGAGAAAATTGGAGTATCATATGTGATCCGGCACGACACGCGGCGTTTTATTAACTAATAATATGTATACATTTTGTATCACAGGCTCTCATTCGCAAAATCCAAAGTTGATATCGTCACAAGATACTCCTTAAATGTTATAACAAATCTAAGTACTCGAAAATATTGGCTTTAACTATGCACTTAAAAATTCCAAAAATCAGAATTTGAATATTTGCAAAATTTAACTGAAAAAAATTGGGATGGGTTTTACCAGTATCGGCAGTGGCGTGCGCAGAGGAATGGGTTAGGAGTTATATTCTCCCTATTGGCTTAAAAATACCAAAAAATATAAGTAATCTAATATCGAAACTCATACATTTCAGCAGATTTCCGAGGTAAAGCTTGATGTATTAAATTATAAATTGGCTTTTTTTTTTTAAGATCCGACTTTAAATTAACAATTCCCATAGTCGATTTGGGTATAGAATACGATTTTACTCTTTATTTACAATTTGTATTCGTTACATCCCCTTCCATTGGAAATTCCTGGACACGCCACTGCGTATCGGTAAAGATTTTGATGTTTAAAAATTTGGTGTACCACGTATAATGTTCTTAACATATGTACTTACCTAAATGTTCATATATGCGCACGTACGGTGCGTGCGAGTGTTTGTGACAATGGAGACGGTGACGGTTACCGTCCGCGCGACTTTAGTTTGAAACTGCTGCCCGTCAGCCACGGCACGTACCGCGGTAGTGGTGAGCCGGTATAAAGTCGTCGTCGTTGTCGCGAGGTCGATGGTGCAGCGCGACGGGCTGAGGGTTGATTGTGCCCTCCGACGAAAAGCTCTGTGCGACAACGACGACCGCGGCGGAGGCGGGCCGTCGGCATTCGAGTTCCACGCCGGGGGGGCCAATGGCTGAAGCCGCGGCGTATTGCCACGCGCGATCCTGCCCGTCCGACCCTTCGGCGGGTGGTCCTTAAATACAGAACAACCGCACCTACCCCCTAAATCACGTGAACCCCACCCCGCCAACACCCCGTGTTGCGCCCCGCGCGATCACCAACCCCTTCCCCCCCTCGAAATCAGCACTTAACTGCCACCACCACGCTACCGACGGAGCGCTTTATACACCGCGCGTGGTGATTTCGAAATACATATCCAAAAACCGCACCGCACGCGTATACGAATACAATACATCTACGTGTAAGTATATTAGTACGTATGTATAATAATTCCTGCAACGTACCGGGTGACCCAACGACGGCGTTTCAAGTCTTCACGCGTACCTAATACAATAATACAAAATATCGAATATTACTAACAGACGGGTGAACTAGAAGGGGTTTTAGGGATTCAATCCCCCTCCCAGAAATGTCAAGAAAATTATGATGAAATAAGATTTTTAATAGATTCTCAAAAGTGATTTTTGTTAATAAGGAAGATAAATACAATTTTGGTTTTATTTATATTTTATTACTGGATATAGTAGCAGTGGCGTATTTAGAGGGTCCATGAAGTCCGAACCCCCCCCCCTCTTCAACTCCATAAATACGTATCTAAACGTCTAATATATATAATATATTATTTTATTCTGTGCAAATATAAGTTGTAACTTGTAACCATAAAAAATGTTATATTTTTACGTAATCAGGAAAAAAAATGTTATCATAAATTGTTATGCATGACTGACACGTCTTACCAATTGGAAATCGATATGAATATACTATCTTCGGCTGTTAACTTACTAGGCCATTTGGGGGAACAACTACAGAATAGTTAAAATTGACCTAATCTGTTCTGCAGAAAAACCTGCATAAATATGATTCATTAAACGATTTTGTTGAGGTATTATCGTTTGTAGTAAAAACACTGGAAACAATTTATTCTACGTGGGGTGTACCATCTTCTATTGATGCTAATGTTTTATTAAAAAGTGTATTGGATTTTGAGTTTCTTTAAATGTTACAAAGGTAAATTTTTAATTGGAAATTTATATAAATATTTAAATATTTTAGATATTTTTTGCCTTTGGAATGCTTGTGTGTAAACAACTAAAGAAAGAACGGATAGATTTAAAAAATACTTTGAGTACTATTGAATTATTAGTTAATACTTTAAAAGAAATGAGACAAGATGCAGAAAAAGAATTTCACATTTTATGTGATAAACTAAAAGTATGTAATTTGAGTTTTGAAGTAATTCAATGTTGAGTATTAATATGTAATTAACTTTTAATATTTTAATAGAATTTAGCAAATGTTATTGCCACAGAAATAACCAAAAAACGCACAGCAAAAAAACAAACAAATAGAGCGAATCCTCAAGTATTCTCTGTAGAAGATTATTATAGAGTGACAGTGTTTATACCATTTACTGACAATTTTATCAACCAACTTACAACTAGATTTTTAAATCACAAATCCGTTTTAGAAGGAAATATGTATATTGATTTATCTAGGTTAATATAAAAATCAGTATTAAATATTATGTTTTGTATACTTTGATAGGATTTGAATGTTTATTTAGTTCAATATTTACTGATGCAGAAAAAATATCGTTTGAGAATTTGGTCGAGTTTTATTTATCACCAGTGGAAAGTGATAATGCTTATGTTGAAATTAAAATATGAAAATTAAAAATAGCCAGTCAAGATGTAAACATCAAAAATTGTTTAGAAGCACTTTTGAGCTACCCAATGAATGACTTTCCAAATAAACATTTTTTAATTAAAATATTTTGCACATTACCGGTGTTAACAGCAATACCTGAAAGATCTTTTTCAACATTGAAAAGGTTGAAAACATATCTAAGATCAACAATGAACGAAGTAATCTTTTAATTATTTTGGAAAATATTTAATATTTATATCTACTATATAACAATTTAACATATTTGTACTATATTTTTAATTTTATTATTATGTAGACGAGGCTAAATGGATTAGCTATGATGTCTATTCATCCGGACATATATCTAGATGTTTATGAAATAATCAATGAGATGGCATTAATTCCTAGAAAATTGGATCTTGTAATATAAATGTTATCTTATATGATTAAAAATAAATAGTTAACATTAAAATGGATTTATGTTAATTCATTGTAATAAATTGAATTTCTATATAAAAGAGTAATTGGAGGGCAAAGCCCCCCACGTATCTGTATTATGAAAATTTTCTGTACCCGCCCCACGACAAATTTTCTTAGAAAATTATAACTGATACGGCGATATTGCATAGTCCGCATTAATGCATTATTATCACAATAATATGAATTCATTGAAGTTGTATTTACTAAAAATTTATTAAATGTAAAATTTAGTAAAGGGTACCTAAAAGGCTAAAAATGAATGTTATAAAGTATTACATTTTTATTAAAAAAAAAAAATCATTGATTGTTATTAAATTCTTAGATCGTAGATAATAGATTCTATTATTAATTGGTGTATCGTGGCTTCGTGGAATTATCAGTATAAAAATATATTTGCTCATGAATTTACACAACAATTTAACATAAGAAATTACTGAATCGGTGACTAAAAATAAACTAAAAACTCGACAATATTTCTGTAATATAATCCAAAATAGCGGAAATATGCTAAAATATTCCGAAATATTCTCTGAATATGTAATCATGCAAAAAAAATTGCGAAAAATGTCAATTGACCGTTTTTGTTGAACTTTAAATTTAATTTCTGGAGAAGAAAGTAATTATAGATTTTTCCAGCAGTTTTCAAAATATTTCGGAAAAACGGAATAAAGACGAAAAATGCAGTGTATATCAGTGGCGTACCTATGCTTCTATTAGGGGGGGGGGCGAAATATATTTTCACCCATTCTTAAAAATTTTAAAAATTTAACAACTACACATATTGTCACATATAATTATACGACCCACTGGGGGGGGGGCGAATACCACCTTCGCCACCCCACAAGTACGCCAATAGTGTAGATGATTTCATTATTTTAAATTTGTACGCTTTGTTTTCTACAAGAAATATTTAGTTTTCCTTTTAAACAAACACTATAGTAAAGGATCTATGCCAACATTACTACACCACTACTGCAGTTAAACCCTGGTTTTAAAATACCGCCGCCGGACCTTATATTAGCAATCGGGACGATGTCCTGGGTGCACCAAAGCCTGATCCTAGTCTCACTGCTCAATACGCTTCACGTCTGACTACGGTCCGGTTTCCTTCCGGCGAGTCAACCTATGGCTATTTAACCACCACCTAGCGTTATTCATAAGCCCGATCGAAGCCTATTATACGGCACCGACCATGGATCGAATCCACCCGACCTAATCTTCGTAAATGTCAAGAGTAGGACACATCTCGACATTCAACTACCAACGCAAATGATCAGCCTACACCGGGGGCAACCTGCAGGGAATCACCAGAATCACAATTGTTAATTCTATGGGCATACTCACAGGGAGGCTACGGTGTTTAAATCTCCACATTAGCCGTTTTATTTTTTTTTTGCAATCAATTCGTTTTAAATTTATAAAAGATATGAAAATTCATTGTCGCATCGTATATTTTATAATTACAATTTCAATAAAAATATATTTGTTGCACCAAAATATTATTGATAAATTATTAAAAATAAAAGTGCATTAAATTTTGTATTATTTATTTTTATGTTATAATTATTAAAAATAATATTAAATGTCATAACTAGAAGGGTTTTCGCTGATAGCCCTTTACAAATTTTTCTAGAAATTACTCACACACTCCTCCCTCATTGGAAATTCCTGAGAACACCACTGGTTAACGCAATCTCCACTGCCAGAGGTAAGCAGAAAAAACCGAAAACATACCAGATTAACTATGCGGAAGGAGGAGCCCGTAGACTCGTTCCCTCGACGGATACAAACTCGGTGGCGAAATTCCACTACACGAGCATCGACATGTTTTCGCTTCTCTCCGCGAGAAGAAGCTCGTGCCGTTTAAGGTCGGGAAACACATGACCGCACCGCACCCGATCCGCGTATCGGCCGAGTGTTGACCGTCACTCGGTAAATGAATAGTACAATGATATAAATAGCAATAGTTCACACATCACCGTATAACGGCCGAGCGCGGTCATCTCACCGAGACAGGACCGAGCGCGATTAAAATATTTTAATAAAGGACGTTGACGGTGCGGGCCCGACGTCTATCAGTTACTACTTTTCAGTCATAGAATAAATATAAATTTTCAGTTTAGTTTAGTTACGAAGTCTAATTACTTACATCTAGTTGCTTACGAAGCAACTATGGTTGACATAGAAAGGTTAATTGACTCTGGTTATATTGTATAACACTGCAACCTTCATTTTTCCTGATAAAGTTGTACAAAACACATGAGGCCAACACCAAAGTTGTTGTTTTCAGGATTTCCCTAAAACCTTCTCGTGTGCATATTCTAACTGATTAATATAATGAGAATGAAGTGACCAAACTATGTTTGTAACTGTTCGTCATGTATTGGTGTCACAAAAGACTTTTTCCATAAGTCAGGAAAGTAGCCTATACTTAAAAATGTATTGAACATTAAATGTAACAAATATACAATAACTGACCCATAAACTTAAAGAAAAGATAACAGTACACCATCTGGACCAGTTGAAAAATGAGTATCTAATAAATTTAAATACTCATAAATTTTACTTTTATCAATAGACCAGGAATTTAAAATTATAAACAATAGGACACACAGAGAAATAATTGTATTTATAATATATTCATGTATAATGTATTCATAATATAATCAAAGGTTTTACTATTATTGTTTTTTTATGCAGTTTTTCTGTTTTAAATTTGAAAAACGTACATAACTATTAAATACTTTACTTCCCAAACTATGACCTTGATTACCCGATCCAGTAGACTAGTCAAAATTACTCAAATTAAAATTCCTGTGATAACGAAATAAAATCTGAAAACTTTTAGTGGATTGACTCAACTACCTCACAGTAGCTGTAATATATTTCATTAGTTGCATCAGTTGGTATATTAAGTGGTTACTCAGAATTTAACGATCCATCTACTTTCAAATGCCTATATATTTCTCTTATCAAATATTTACTAGAATATGCACCAATAATCTGGGATAATCATAACATTGGTCACAATATCTAACAAGATTAAAAAAGTTCAAAATAAAGTGCTTCGTTTTATATGCTACAAATATATTATAGATAGAATTCCCCATAATAGTTACGAAAACATTCTAGGAATCTTAAAAATGGATACTTACAAAATACATAGAATTAATACTTTAAACTCTTTTCTCTTTGAACTATTAAATAATGAAATTGATGATTTGTTTATATTAAATTTGATAAACTTCAAAGTATCTAAACATTTATTTTATATTCATCTAGCTTCTCAAAACTACATGTTAAATCACCCAATCAATATTTTAACGTCTGATGGCAACAATTTTGATGATCATAATCCAATTAAGTAAATTATAATCCCATCATTTGTATTAACTTATAATTCATTGTTTATTGTCTATATATTTATGTAATAGAAATGATTATTGTATATACTTTTTTTGGTTATTGTTATATATTGTTATCCATTGATTAAGCTCATTAACGTTAAAATTGATAATTTACTCATAATTGCCACCATAATAAATGTACCTTGAAATTAGACAATTTGTCCATAAATAAATAAAATAAATAAATACAAGCTAAAATAACATTAATATTATTGGTCCTAATTTTCATAAAAATTTGTTCCATGCCATTAACTATTAGAACACTTAACAATTCACGTTGAATTTTATTGTGAACAACAACAAAGACTCCTCTGCCATGTTTTTTTCCTAAAAGACATATTTTAATCATTTCTATATATTCTATTATTATAAAAACCAAGTCCTGCATTGAATACATCATTATTTAACCAAGTTTCGTTTGAAAAAATAATTAACATTAACATAATATAAAAAAATCTCACAATTTAAGAATACAATGCTTCATAATTAAATAATTATTGCTAAAGAAAGAACAGTTTAAAATGAAATGTAAGCAGACTATAAATAATCTATAATGACATTTTATCTTAGAAGAGTAGAAGGTAAGAAATAATTCTTACCTATACCAAATAATAAATCTAAACAATTTTTAATAGAAACAAATAAAACATAATAGGTAATGTTTAAATATCAAATATTTATAATAAATATCCATTTAACAATATAAACATATTTCCCATTCAAAAATATAACGGATTTTGTTATCCATTAAGTTGCTGAAAAAAAGAACAATTTAAAATGAAATGTAACAGGATTTTAAATATTCCTTTAATTACAATATCATAACAACAAATCATAAATTAAATAATATATAAAAAAAAAATAAGTAAAGGTACTTACCTTAAATGAGTCTTTAAAAATCCAAATTGTTAAACATGTAATTATTATTATTATTATTTATTTTACCAAAAAAAATTAAATTTCCACCGAAATTCTTTATTAATTTAAACACGAAAATTAGTAAAAAACACATTACATAGGTAAACGATAAACATCACCATTACTTATAATTACCTACCTACCTACCTACCTACCTACCTACCTATATTACTTAGAATGTTAGTTACCTTAATCCACTAAATGAAATTAGAGAATATCCATCATCAATACATTTAGATTTATAATATACAAATACAGAATAGTTTTAATCGGTTTCAAACGATATGCATTAATTAAATTGTTTACTTAAGAAGTATACATTTCAACATTTCAAATGATTAAGTTAAACTTGATTCCAAAATAATATCCAAATGCATGGATGAATTTTATTTGTATCCTCCTTCTACATTTGTGGCTAAATCAGCTTTCTCTTGATATGATGAGCGACAGCTGAAAATTAAAAAAAAATACCTACACTTATAATATAATAAGTTACAAAAAATTATCTATTTCATTTAAAAAATAGAGAATATAAATTGAGCTGTATAATAAAATGAACTATTTCAAAAATTAATTAACTTAATAGTTAATGAATAAACTGTTCAATTTTTTAATGTTTTAATGTATTTGAAATTGGAGATACTTTCACAGAGAGACATTAACAAAATTTAATTTAAAATAAATAACATTATGATTCCAACATAATAATGACAAATTTAAAAAGAAAAAATTAAAAAACCTTGAAATTTAGTATAAAAAAAAATATATATATATATATAAAAGTACCTAGTAGGCACTTAAAATTAAAGATAATCAAATTAGGCAAAGCAAACTTACCGATAACATCTTCATAATTTTCATGGAGACAAAAATTAAATATTCTCTAATTAGTAATTTCAACTTAACATCTAGTGTTAAACTATACTATAATTCAAAGTTTAAGCATCATTTTGTATTACTTTTACAGTATTTAATAAATGTAATAAAATGTTATTTTTAGATACTTAAGCTTTTAGCTTTTTTAATAAACTTTTCTTAAAAAAATCATAGCTGTATGTAACATAATATGGTATAATATATAAAATGGTAATTAAATTAATTAATCCGTCTATTTAGCTAAAGAATTAATTAAAGTCAAAATAATTTTAAAAATGATACTCATACTGAACAGCCAGAACTCATATTTCATAGATATTGTGATAGATTGTATTATAGTAATACTATGGAGATTTAGGGATGAATTGCTAGCTGTTTAATACAATTATTCACTCACCTCATCTGTGACTGCAGTTTGGACTTACTATTGACTGACCATGCCAAATCTGAAAAAAAATAAAATAACAATAATAATTGTTTGCTAATCCCCAACAAAAATAACAAATAATATATAATAAAATAAAAAATAAATAATAATATAATGTAATAAAAATATGAGGTAATTTTCTTCAGAATAAACTATCGAGCCGTAATCCAGTGCTATAGCTGGGTATGAAGTGAACAAATTATAATACGAATAGAAATAATATTAGTAAGGCTACATTTAGTAATACGTTAATCGTTTATTTTATATCAACAACGATGATAATGGGGGAAGTACTGAAGTCCCTCGAAAAATATGAACAAAAATAGAAACTACAAATTATACTTGTACAGAATGTAACACAAAGATCTGATATAGGCATGTAGCCTTGTTTTTCGTTGGAAAATCCAGACATTCCCCAAGCTTGGACGCCAAAGGTGCTTGAAATTCGGACTGTCCGGACGAAATCTGGACGTACCTATGATAACCCTAATTATATGCAAATGAAAATGATACAATTTCGTCCAATATACGACACCCGATACGTGAATCAAATCAATATCTAGATAGACATTAAATTTAATAAATAGAAAACAAATTACGAAATTTCATAAATATCCCAGCCCCGTATACCTACAAAATCTATGTTATATTTGCGTGAAATGTTTTATCTCGCATGAAAAAAACGATGGTATTACACAATTGATCTTTTTAAATCGATTTTTATTTATTTAATATTTTTCACTGAATCACAGAAAAAAAAATTTAAAATAATAAATTTCGTACATTTTTCCGTTTTTTCCCAGTTATAATGAAAACCACCTGGAAAATCAAAAAATGAACACCCTAAATTATCGACTGGATAAAATTTCCATGGAGCGAGGTTTCTGGTAGAATTTTGTACGCAATACACACTAAAAGAAAAAAAACTAAACATTGTAAAACCTATACACAAAAAAAAAAAAATGTTTATAGTAACTACTCACATTAAGTCACAGTCGTCCGTGGCTTTTAACAACATTTTGACTCTAAACACCGCTGCGTCGTCTTGAGTTTTAACGAACACCGCACTTAAATATTCGCGACAGCACTTTAATATAATAATATTGACCGGACGGACAAAGAAAGGCGCAGAAAACAAAATGTGCACCGAATGACAAAGAAACACTACATAATAATATTATATTATATTTTAGGCACTCGGAAACGCGAAACAATCACCGGCGAAGAGTGAACACGCAAACGCGGAGCCACGGATTACTGATGAAAGACAATCGGCCGACTGGTTTTTAATTTTTTATTCGCGCGAGCCTTTTGTGCGCAACTTATACAAATTTGTTTTACGCAGCTTTAAAGCTGCGCGGTAACATCGGCGATCTAATAGGTTAACGGCGTCAAGCCCAATGAACGCATCCCGGACATGGCGATCGCGACGCGACCACGGTTATAGATCTATAACCGTGGTCGCGACATTACCGTACCTACTAACGTAGACAAAATCTTTTATTTTATTGGTTATTTTGGTGTATTATAACGTTTTTAAAAATAGTACGTAGTAAAAAATTATTTTGCCTCCCCCCCCCCCCTTAAGAAATATTTTTCCGGCCACGGTAGTTTCCACAATTTTCTAACACATACAGGTGTCCCAAACTCCAAAGCAGGGGGTGGGGCGTCATTTCACATTTTTTCGTGGAGTGCAAAATCTGCCTACTTAACTATATGTGCTGAAAATTAAAATTAACTTGAAATCCGTTAGGGTTGCATATTAAGCATGAAATCAAATATGACATAATATGTTAATAAATACCAATGAAAATTGAAAAAATTATTCCGTATTCGGTAGACGGTATTTCGGTGACTTATCGGATGGTCATTGCTCATTAGTCAGCCGTTTATATCAGCATTGTATTAATTTTAAATGTTATTGTTATTTTTCTTGATAATAACGGTTAATATCGGTTTTCACATTTGCTGAGAAAACTCTTGGGGATATCGAAAAATGACCTCCATAAAATACCACTCCACACCGATTTCCTTTCAGAAAAGGTGTACACTTAAAAATTGAACCGTAAATATTTGCTGTTTTACCTAAAATTTTCTTTCGGTTTTCCCAATTATTTCGAAAATCATTAAGAAAAATAAAAAAAATACCACCTCAATGCACCAACGAGAGAAAATTACCTTTCAGAAAATGTACTACAGTTCATATTTCGGAGCAAGTTTTGTGATAGAAATAAAAATACTGGGACAGGTGCGGCCACTTTTGTAGATGGATAGTGAGGAAAGTGGGATGCATAAAATTATTTAGTTTACACCTGTAATCAACGATGAACCATTGATAACGAAAAACCATTCGGTTATACATGTTTTGAAAAGCCGTAATATTTACGATTTTCGTCAAAATTTAATATTAGAATTTCTTTATTAAAAAAAATACTACATTAAACTCAAATTTTTTTTGTCCACCAAGTACGACTTATAATGAACTTTCTATCAAATGTTCAAACATTCCTGTTTAGTCTAACAGTTTTATCCACAGATTACCTACAGAATAAAAATTACGTACAAAACAAGTAAAATTAAAATGTTTATAATTAGCTCAAAAATAGATAAAATATTTTGAAAATTTGACCACTCAATATTAGCAAATCAATGGTTACTGGAAACATATTAATTGTACTAAAATAATATTGGAAAATAAGTAAGTTAAAATTTAAATTATATTTTGATTACACAATAAATTTATTTATTAAATTAAGATTTGTTTCAGTTCAATTTGTGCATGGTGTAAATAATTAGCATACTCAATTAGGAAAAAAACAAGGCAGATTATCCAGTGAAAACAAAATTAAGATTTATTTTTCACTATCAAAGAAAACAAAAATAAGATTTATTTTTCACTATCAAAGAAAACAAAAATTAATAACAAGGAGGAAAGTTAGGCAACAAGTCAGAACAAATAAAAAATTACAAAACTAGAAACAGATTTGAATATAACATGAAACAAAATGAAAGAAATTTCAAATATTACGTTCTCCAAATTGATTAAAGACTTTCAAATTCCTAAATGCCAATCAACATTATTATATGAAATTTTTGAAGCAGCTAGATATAAAAACCCAAAAAGTTACTCAGAAAATTGGATGATACTTTGTCTTTTATTTCATTTATGGTAAGAATAAATTTGTAATTATCTTTTTAACCATTATTTTTATATTCAAATTATTTAATATCTCGTTTGATTTTTTGTTTTGTGTAGTTTGTCTCCTTTGGGTTAAAATTGTTTAAGAAAGCAAAATGTATTACCACTACCTTGTGTTAAATCAATCTGAACACATTTATTGACTGCCAAATACAAATATGGATTTGTTTTAGGATTTTTTAAATTGCTGAAAAAGAAATTTAAAGAAAATAATAAATATCAGAAAAAAGGTATTCTTTGTTTATATACAATTTTCTTAAGGACAAACCTTAATATTAAAACTCTTACATTATCTTACAGTGGTCTAGAGAATTTTGGAAGAGAAATCAAAAACAAAATTTGAAGTTCAGAATTAGTCATCCATAGCCTTGTATTTATGCGGAACAGATAATGTAACACATTCTATAGCTATTTTTGTCTCTAAAGGTCTAGTAAAAGGTTGGATTATTTTGTATGATGATTTTTTTTTTTGATTTTTTATACATATTATAAGTCTTACATTTTAAGTCCTGAACCCTGATTATTATATACATACAAAATCAAAAAAATATTTATATATTTTTTATTTAAGTTTAATAACAAAAAAAAAAACGCTTCTTTGAAAATAAATCATTCTGGCTATCACATTTTCTAATAAATATAAATATTATACACTAAAATTTCACATTTGACATCATAGCCCCATGCAATGGATTTATTTCTCCTCCCAAACCTTGGTCAGAATATATGCACATACACTTATTTATTGATTTCTTATATTATATAAATATTGTTTTCAAAATAGGAATTGATTTAGCACAATTAGTAGTCAAAGCCATTATTTTATTAGAAGATGCAGGATTACAAGTAATGATACTGACTTGTGATGATGCTTCAATTAATAAAACAATGATCAAACATTTAGGAATTAGTAGTAAATGTTTAGATTTAAAAAATAATTTTATAAACCCATATTATGACAAAAGAAATGTGAAATAAAAATAAATATTTTAATTTGTAGAACATATTACTATAACATGTTTAGATAATGATTATGCACCATTATAACAATAAGTGACTTAAAGAATGCCATTAATGAAAAAGATGAGTCATTTGTCCGAGAACAAAATATATTAAACTTAAAAACATATATTGATGACATAATTGAAGAATGAAAGTGGGATATGGATATGTTTAAAGACTCAGATTTTAAAGATGATGCAACGTTTAACTGTGTTTATATTATTTGGCTAGGTAAATACAATATTTTAGAGGATATGCACATACAACTTACTTACTGTAAATTTTACTTTTACATTTTAAACTTGCATAAGTGAATATATATTCATTTTTTTATTATTTTCAAGATATTTGGCAACAAAACTAATAAAAAAAACTAAATGTGAAGTTTGTCTGTCTGGGATAAGAAACACTGAAGGAAAAATCTGCGATTTCAATGCTGCCTAATTAGTTCAACTTAAATCTCAAGGATATCTAACCCATCCAGACAGTAGTTTTTTCATTTTAGTAAGATGTATTGAAAAATCATTTCAAATTCATGCCACAAGTCTAAATGCTTTTGATGACACAGTTGAACATTTCTTCGAAAACAACTATATCATACCATTTCCATTTAATGAGCATAAAAGTGATATAGTCGAGTACGTTTTTATGTCTTATTTGACTATGCAAATGAGGCAGTACACCTAGATGAACAAAAAACAACAAAAAATACAAATAAAATTTAAAAAAAATTATCAAAATTAACTAAAAATTAATTTGTAATTAAAGATTTGTTCAAATATGTATGGATTTATTTAATTTAGAATTTAAACCAAATAAATTGGCAGATATAATTTGTTTTTAATTAAATATTTTTATAAATTGCATAGTCTATTTATTCAACATTTTTTTATTGTATTTTATTAAATTATAATTATTATATTAATACAGAAAAGTTGAAGACAGAACATATTAGGTATTACAAAACAATATGATTAATGGTAGCAAGTAGGAGGAACGCGTCAAATAACCGAAAATAAATCAGCCGAACCGTATTTACTATTAAGCAGATAAATATTTCGACCAAACTGAATTTAAGCAGAAAAATATTTGAGCCCATAGTATTTTATCCGAAAATATTATAGCTGTGAGCCGACTGTAATAAAGAGATAAGGTCAGATCTTCCAAAAAACAATAACGCATCTAAAGAAATAAATAAAAATGACAGAAATTCTATACTCGTACGTTATTAAATTCTTAAAATGAAAAACAAGTTAATCAGATGTCACAAGTAGCCCACTTCTATGTTTTTTTGATTTTTAATCAATGAAGTTAATTGGAAAATAGATTGGTTTAGTTTTGATAATAAATCCAACATGAGTAAGTGGATTATTTATCTACACTTGAATAATTTAAATGCTTACAAATAATTGAAATTAAAAATAATAGGTAATAATTTTAAACTTAATTAAATAATATATATTTTTATCATAGAAAATATTCAAAATATTATCGTTTTATTATTTTTTTATTTGTTCCAAACTGTGTCTGAATTCTAACAACATTTACACGTTTTTCAAATTTTTAATTTTGTTCAAGATATTAACGTTCAAACTTTTAAGTTTTCTAATTGAACATTTTTTGATTAAAAACAATGATAAGAAATGTATAAGTTGATAATTAATAGTTTCGGGCGATTTGGCAATCAACTGAACTACTGTCGGCGGAAATATTTTTCTACTATAATATATTTTTTGATAATTTTATGTTTAACTTAAATACAGTTGGTTGAAATACTTTTGGCTAAAATACTGTTTGGTTGTTTTATAGCTTCCCCTATGTCCCATCCATGTATATATTGAGTTTTTATACATAACACTGATTTCGTTTCCATTTGTCACATAGGTCACATAAGTACAAATCATAGACATATAAATATATGTCTATTGTACAAATAGCCAAAATATTGGTCACGGGAGGTTAGGGAGGGGTTTACACCCTATAACAATGATTTTCAAAATTTTGTTGACCACGGCACATGCTTTTCAAAACATTTTCACAGGCTCATGGCATACTGCCATTGTGACCTTTTTTTTTGTCATTGTTTAATCTTTTGTACAAAATTTGAACCAATGACATGGTTAATTAGTCATACTCAAACGAATTATGATTTCATACTACAAATGGATGACCGTAACCAGTGGTCAATCACAATTTAAGAAAACAAATTTTAAAAGATCGTGGTACACTTAGTGAATGTTCGCGGTAGGTACCCAGTTTAAAAACTGCTGCCCTATAATATCGATTATGTATTCCTACTTACCTAATATTTACTTAATAAATAGTTAATTTGGTGGTTGGGTGAATTTTAGCCAAGCTCTTTCCTATTTGAGCTTATGAACATTTATTTATTTATTGTTATTTTAAACAGGCTAAAAGCCCAATACATGTTAAATACACACATGTAATAACAATAAGATGAATTTAAGAAACTAGAAATTGAAGAACAAGTAAAAATTTAAAATAATATTATTTACAATTAATGAATGTAATAAAATACATAACTACTGATAATGTAATTATAAAAAACTCAATAGAATTAAAATGAAATAGATAAATTTAGATTTGGATATCATTAGTTAATCTCGTGGACCTAGTTAAAGGAGTAATTATAGTAAATTCTATTTAATTGTGTATGAAAAGTATAAATAGATCTAATTGTAGTTTGTCGTTGAAAGAATTAAAAATGTAGGTATTAGCAATTCTGAACAGTCTACGTAGGCACATAACCTAAACAAAAATTTTAAATCGTACATTTTTCTTTGAACAAAAAGGATGCTCATATTGTGTTTAATAATGGATTATATGATGAATAAGGTAGACAGGGAAAACAACATTTGTAAAATATAAAACGAAGAAAACAGTTCTGAATAGGTTCAAGGCATTGTATATAAATATTAGCAGAAGGTAACTAGATAGAATTATATTCAAGAGTAGAACATACTATGAAAAATATAGTTTTTAAAATAATAGGGTTTAAAAATTCCTTACATATCCTAGAAATAAATCCAAGAATGGACAATGATTTTTTTGAAATGTTTAAATAGGTAATACAATTTAAAAGATAGTCATGACAAATGGAACCCCTAAATCACGATTTCAAACCATCTGATGAAGTATATTATTTAAATAACTGTGGAGAACTGGAGCATATGGAAAGAGACAAATTTAATTTTTCAATGTTTAATATTGTTTTTTTTCACCAGATATATTAAGTATTAAAGTAATTTTGCAACAAAAGGATAGAATTCGAAGAAAACTTCACTTTTCAAAATAATATCATTTCAATGACCAAAAGTTTACACGAGTTTAGAAAATGTTAATCATTAATAAACAAAATAAATAACAATGACCAAGGAGTTGAATATAAACCTTGTGGAACATTTGACAAAATATCAATTATTTTATTGTTACCTACATCGATGGGATATCAATCAAATTTTATGGGATCGCCTACCTACACAATGTCATAATAAAGACAACTAGTTTATTATAAAAATTTCATCAGATAACTATAGTCTAATGGTTAACATATTCTATTCTAAATTTGAGTTAGATGTTTATTTTTAAACACTGTTTTAATAGTTCATAGCAAGCATGAATTTAGATATATGATATATATATATATATATATATATAAATCTTAATTTATGATAATAAAATTGTTAATATCAAATTTATAACATTCTATAGGACCATCAAAAATGGTACTTAAAAGGACATGTGCTAATGAACACAACATAGCACACAATTTTTAATTTCATGCCACATCAAAAAAAGTATTTTATTAATTTGGCTAACCTACTATTACAAATGTTGAATAAATGTAAAAATATACAGAAAAAACTTAAGCCCGGGTTATTATAGAAATCGTGTCCATAAAAGATCAGTTTAAATTTAAAATCTAGAATTAAGCAACAAATATGATATTGCTGAGGACTAATGTTTTACTGGTGATAAGCATATTCGCTTTACCACATGCTCAATGATAATAAAAAACTTAATACTTGACTTTTTTTCATTTATATGAATTACTTAAATTTTACATGTCTTAATTTAACTTTAACTGTAGTGTAAATTACCAGATTCTAATTAATTTTAATTAATAATGGAATTATAATTTTTCAACATAACTTAGCTCGTTACAATACCCACTATCTATATTATACAAGTAGGGTTAAAACATTTTTTTTATTTAACTATTCATTATGAGTAACAATGCAACACATTTTTAGGTCTTATAGTAGTATAAATTTAGAAAGAATATAGAACCTATTTAAAACCCACATTTAATTTTATAAATAACAATCTTGGTAAAGAGAAATATTACATTTAACTGTGCTTGAACCAAGCAATGATTGCATTAATAATTATGGATAAAGTTTATTTTTGTTAATTATAACTATTATCAGATACCTTTAATTAAAGGAATAGTTTTTTCATTCAAGCTTTTTAATTCATAATTTTTAAGTTGGCTTAAAATGTTTGGAACAAGTATAAAATTTGACATTATATAAAAAAAAAACAACTTTATATTTTTAATATTTTATATTTGTCATATATTAAATAATAACTATTCATGCATTAATTTCTCCTTTTGTCTAGCTAACTTCTTTTTGGATACTTTTTTCTTTTCAGCTTCATCCTTGGGAACTTTAGCAACAAACTTTTGTTTTTCAGCAAGAATTACTTCAATATGACAAGGTGAACTCATGTAAGCTAAAAAAAAAAAAAACGTATTACTTAATTAAAAACAAGAACAATTTTAATAGAAATTATAAATTTAAAACAAAAGTAACAAATTTAATCACTTTATGAAATATTAAGGTACTTCATAGACAATCTAATATCTATGGTAATTAGATTTTAATTAAAATTTAAATCAAACACAACAATTTTACATATTTTATATAATAATTTTCAAGAAAATATATATATATAAAAAAAAAATAAAATATTAATTAAGGCAGTTATTTTCAAATTTTTTTTCATTGCAACCTTAAATTTTTTAGTATAAACTTATATGAAACTCAATCATACTTAGTTACCAATAAAAATAAAAATTAAAAATTTCTATTTCTTCAGCGATATAAACATTAAATAAAATAAAATAGTTAACTGTGATAATAATAAATTTAATACTATAATCAGTATTTTCAGAAATTAATATTTATTTTGTAAAAATAAAATTACACAAGAAAATAAAGTCATATTATTAATTTTTCCTAAACTCGCTACACAATCAAGCCACAGTCCTGTTTTGAGTTGCAAACCCATGCAAATTCACATTTCTTTCAAATCAAAACAAATTTGAGAACTGGTGAATTAAGGATTTATTATTAAGTTATTTAATTGCCACCAAATAGATAGTAATTTTTTATTTAATTGTTATCAATCTCATATAGGTAGTAGTGTTATCTTAACTATTTTCCTACATATCTGAATTTTATACCTATTTTCAAATGTTTCATAAATTCTTTTGACTAATAACCGATAATAAAATTGAATTACAATTCATTATGTATGTGAACAATTATCTTTGCATTTATGTACTTAGACACTCTATAAAATCTGTATACCAACCAAAAGAAGAACAATTACAATTTCCAATGGTATTTGACAAAAGAATATTGATATAGTCCAAATCCTATAGTATCATAAAATTAAAATCTTATATTTTTGGACTTGAGCCCAAGAAATATTGTTGTTTGCCATTATTGTTGGGCACAATTCAGAATTAAAATAAATTTAGTTAATAACTTGAAATTTTAGTACAATTTAATATTTATTTACACTTAGGTTATGCAAAAATGTAATTTAATTTATCGTGTAGGATAGACAAATTATTAAAATAATGGTTTATCTTAAAAAATTACGGCACAACTATAATATATGAATGACTTATTAATAGTGATTCATAGTATAAAAGTATATTGCCATCATAAAAAAAGCAAGATTAAACTGTATTACATTTAATATTATAGTTTTTAACAAATTTTCTAGTACAATTTAATTTTCTTAGGACACAGTACACTAACTTGTACAAGTATCTGTGACAGTTTATTAAGAGAATAGCGACAGACCCAAATGCTTAGTCCAATTAACAGTTAGTGATGGGTAACTATAGATAATTTTGATCATTAGATATCATCATAGTTTGTAAACTACTATCGTTAGTTTTAAAATCATTATTACATTTTATTATCATTTATCAAGGTTTTTTTGCAGGAAATAAGCAATACTCAAAACTTAATAGATTTATCAATAATTTAAATTGTTTGTTTTATCGTTTATAAAATAACACTTTTATAATATTATTTAAGCCACATATTTTTTTTCTATTATTATTATTATTATTTTAAAATGGGTAACAAAAAGTAGTTTCTAATGTTTGGTCATATTTCACAAGAAGCAATAATGATAATAATAAAAAAAAAACGCCAAAACTGTCAAAAAGAATGTAAAACCCATTAGAATACTAGTAATTTTAAGGATCACCTTACGAGAATGCACCCAGAATTACAATTCATTACATCAAGTGAAGAAGATAATGTAGATTCTCCATTCGAAAGTAATCAACCAACAGTAGCAACATATTTTCACATACAAAATATTTATGACAGTGCCAGTAGTGTTAAACATATTTATCCTAGGTACAAGATACTCAGTAGATTTACAGTGAGATAAAAAAATTAAATATTAATATATTAATATTTTACATGTGCTTTATTTATGGTATCAAGTCATATACTGGTTAATCTTGTCATTTTGTTGATGTATATTCCATTTTTGAGTTATTTAAAGACATTTTAAATTTGCTAATTTTTTTGTAGTGCATTAAACAGCTCTGCTCACCAACAAAATAGAAAATAACCACATAAGTGACAATATTGCAAATGAAAAATGAAAATTGGCAATTCAAGAATGGAATATTAAAAACAAGGTTATTCTAACACACAATGCAGCTTCAATGACCAAAGCTTATCAAATATTAAAAAAAAATGGTACTAAATGTATTAAAGCACAAGATATTTTTTGAACAATAAAAAATGTAAAGATCTATTAATATATTTTAAAAGTAAAAATAGTATGATGAAAATTGACCACAGTTGAAAAGTTAAAAAGATGCCGCCACTGCTATGGGTAATTTAATATATACCTGTAAGCAATGATAAACAAGCTCCATAGGTAAGAAATTGTTAAAATTGTTTTCTAATAGGCAATTTTTTAATATCATAATAACAAAACAATTTTTTTTGTTTTAACTGTCTACACATAGCAACCAAAATTAGTATTTTACACAAAAACAATTATTAAGTTGTCATCAGAAGAAAAACTGAACAGTTTAGAATTCAGCCATATATAATAATAGTGTTAAATATAAAACATTTAACTCGTACAATTCTGAAAGCCTTGACTAATGTTTAATAACAAAATATGAATATTTATGTTATCATAAAAAATTGTCAATTCTACTGAATATGAGAAAATTTAAACTATATTTTAGTAAAAAATAAATTGGTGTAGAAATGTATTTTTTAAGTTTTGGCTTTACTGTCAAGTAAATATAATATCCTATGTTTTACAATTAAATATCTCACATAAGACTTGTAAAGCAGAGAGATTAATTAACATTCGCAGAGTTGTTAAGACTGTAATGAATTATAAAATTAATTTTACTTATAAGCTTAGTCATCAATATTACATAAAATAATAATAAAACTAATAAATTAACTTATTAGATATTTAATAAGGAAATTAAACTTACGGTTAATACGACCATGAGCACGGTAAGTACGTCTCCTCAGACAAGGGGCACGATTTACTTGGATGTGTTCAACAAATAAGCGATCAATGTCAAGACCTTTGATGTCTGCATTAGATTCGGCATTTCTCAACAGTTGCAACAAGAAGTCGGCAGACTTCTCTGGCCAGCGACCCTGAGTCAGGCCCCACTGTTTGGCCTACAAACAATCCAAGTTTATTTTAATAAAATCGGGTATTATTAGTTCAATGCAAGTAATACATACTTGAGCACATCGACCAACACCACCATTGAACCTTCTGAAAGGTACACATTCTTTCTTGTCCTTAATATTTTTCAAGTATTGTACAGCACGGCGGAGAGGCATCTTCTTGATAGTCTTGGCTGTCTCCCTTGTGTTCTACAATCATTTTATTCAGCAATTAAATACAAAGCATTAAGCATTTAATGAATATAAATTGATCGACGTACCTTAAAATGAACTCTTAAATTAGAGCCCCTTGCCTTACAGGACTTGGTTGGATTTTTCGGTTCTTTAGCGTACCTACCCATGATTGGGTCTATAAAACAGAAAAAAATTATAAATTAATTATTGATAATTGTAATACATATATGAATTAAATATATTACAGCGAATCGAACAATAATAGTTTTGAAATAATTACAAAGAGATATCGCTGGATTGAAATGGATGAATTCCACACACACTTACCGAGAAAAAGATGAGAGTAGAAAAAGATCTAATACATCGGTAGAAAACAAATCGACACTGTTATGGTTTGACGACGATTTACGGCCACATGATAATTTAAGGTTAAGCGTCAGTGTAGCCACGACAAAATATTATGTCATATATATAATTACGTCATATAAATGTGGCCATCTTATCTTATCACCGTCAACATTTTCCCCCATATTAATTTGATTTCAAAATTGAAATGTATGATAATATAACATTTATTCTCTTCTTCCTCTTGTGCAAACTATGTGAGCGTCATTTTACATTTTTTACGGTATGTAACGAATATTTAAAATGCAATAATAAAGCCACTCGTTTTGATTGCGTACTACACAAAAGACAAAATTAATATATTTCTATATAAAATTCTATTTTTCAATTATAATATATTAATTTTGATTATACTTACAATATTAAAAAATCTATTTCAGTATATTATATTAGTATAGGGTATTTTAATTAAACATAAATTAATTGGGTATGAAGAAAGGTAGGTATACTATCTGTCTTCTGATACTGATCAAATTAAATTTGAAAAAAAAAAAGAAATGGGCAAAAATTGGTTCTAATCTATAAAGATACCCTTTAATGGATACTAAATTTCAGTTATATATATAAAATATACAATAGTAGGCAATAAGCAATAACACTGGTTAACAAGTTGATAGTGAATTCTGTGTGGAATTTCACTGCTGATTCCGAATTTGGACTCAGAATTGTATAATTCGCTCTTGTTTTTGAGACCATCACTAATTTTTATAAAAATCAAATATTAAATAAATTTTAAATTTCTTAAATTCTAATGAAAAATGCATTTTTTATTTTTCCCCTTAAATATAAACTATATTATTAATATAGTGCGAAATTTGAAACTGATTTGTTAAGTTGAGATTTTTTTCTGGCCCTTTAAGATTGAGTTTGATAATTATTTAGTAATCAACCAAGCAAATATTTTTACTATAGCTATTTTTGTTTAGTTTAATTCGCAATTTTGAATTAACATCGATTTTTAAAGGCAGATTTTAAAAGAATATTAAAAATATTATTATTGAGTTTGCTGACCCAATCACTGTCAATAGACAAATATGTGAAACTCTGAAAAATATGTTATACTTATTAGGTCGTATGGATGGTTTTATTATGATTAGGTACAAAAGTTTGATTCATCATTTAGTGTAACATTCAGACAATGAATTTAGATGAGTTAGTAAATTGGCCGAGCCTATGACTGAATCATGCAGTCGGCCACAAAATTGTTTTGTATGAATAAAATATTTAATTATTACTTTTAATTTGGTAAATATCTAAACGAATTTTATGATCATAAAATATTACAGTGATTAAATTGTTTTATTAAAATTGCCACTCGCTAAAATTTAATCAGGTAGATACCTATAATTTTTGTTTAGATTACCCATTCAGATATTCAGAAATAGGTGTGTTTTGGCGATGCAATTTTGAGTAACCAGGTTCCTAGTTTAGTGAACAAACTGTTTTAGCGACATTGTTTACTGTTTTCGGTTACTAATAATCTACTGATAAGGACTATCATTCAATCATTCCATCAATTTTATGTAACAAAAAATATTATACAACAAATAAAACGTTTTGACGAGTAATCCACCAAGTAGCAAACAACAGCAAACAATTCAGAAAACTAATTACTGAAAATTGCATCGCAAAAACACGCCTAATGTTATCAATAACAAATTACATTTTACATTAATAATTATAATTTTAATGATAGGTATATGATATAAGTAAATACAATATTATAATTTTTTAATATGATAAAATTATTCAAATCTTTATCATTGCATTATAATTTATAATATAATAACATACAATTTTGAAATTATGAATTTTCCCCATTGAATAATGTATTAAAAAATGCATTTTTTTTCTGAACTGTTATTATCAGCAATAAAAAATTATCATTCACTATTCGTTATCAGAATAAAAGTTACATCTTGCTGATGACGTTTTCTCGATTTCATTTTTAATACATTTCTTATCATTAACAACGACAACGTATCCCCTCCCCATCAACAAAGATTTTCTTCTGCCGGGATTCCTTAAACAGCCCTAAAGAAAATGTCGAAGAACAAATTAAACTTGACTTTACCTCCTGGTGTGGCTGACAACCAACAGCCTGTATCTCCATCCGCACCATTATCGGCTGCATCAGATACAGGGTAAGTATGTCATCAGGCAAAATTTTATAATTATTATCTTATAAGTGGTTTATAAAATCTATCTGTTAAAGATGCGACAAATTGAGTGTAGCAAGTCTACAAGAACAATTGGATCGAGTTGGAATGGATGATGAACAGCGAAAGCGAATGGAATTATTCCTATGTCAAAAAGAAAAGATTGGCGGTGAACTTAGTGATGCTGATTTTGAGAAAATGAAAGACGGTGAACTAGGTGCTGGAAACGGTGGTGTAGTCATGAAAGTCAAACACAAGTCAAGCGGGCTAATTATGGCCAGAAAAGTAATACTTATAATTAAATAACTAATTTATTCCTAAATGTGTAAATTGAAAATTGTTTTAGCTTATACACTTAGAAGTAAAGCCTGCTATTAAAAAACAAATAATACGCGAACTTAAAATTTTACATGAATGTAACCACGCACATATAGTTGGTTTTTATGGAGCATTTTACAGGTAGTAATTTATAATTATAAGAATTATTATTTAAGATAATATTAGATTGTAAACTATTATAATAACCATATGGTGATGATGATGGTTTTAGTGATGGTGAAATCAGCATTTGTATGGAATATATGGATGGTGGTTCCCTTGATTTAATATTACAAAAAACTCGAATACCTGAACCAATATTAGGAACTATTACAGCAGCTGTATGTTTAAAATAATAATATTCATTATTGTATACACATTATTTAATAACTTAATTTTTGTTTAGGTTGTTAAAGGATTAATTTATCTCCGAGAACAACATTCTATTATTCACAGAGATGTTAAACCTAGTAATATTTTGGTAAACAGCGCTGGAGAAATTAAAATTTGTGATTTTGGCGTGTCTGGTCAGTTAATAGACTCAATGGCTAATTCATTTGTTGGTACTAGATCATACATGTCTGTAAGTAGCCAAACAAACAATATATTATATTTATAGTTAAATGTATTACTAATTAAAAATAATTGAATGTTTAAGCCTGAACGGTTACAAGGTACACAATATACATTACAAAGTGATATATGGTCCTTAGGATTATCTTTGGTTGAAATGGCCATTGGTATGTATCCTATACCAGCGCCTGATGCAAAAACTCTAGCTTCAATATTTGGACCTGGATCTCAGACAACTGAAACAATAGAAAACATAGAAGGTGATGTTTTTGGTAAGACAATTCTAATTTATATTTTGATTTAGTACTTAAATCTAAAACCTAATCTTTATTTACATATAATAAATTTCTTTGTGTATATAATTATATATTTATGTAGTTTTAAAAATATTTTATTTCAGCGAATGGAAATGGACCAAGACCTATGGCTATATTTGAATTGCTCGATTACATTGTGAATGAACCACCACCCACATTACCAGCAGGTATCTTCTCTGATGCCTTCAAAGATTTTGTAGATGGATGCTTGAAGAAAAATCCTCATGAAAGAGGAGATTTTAAAAGGCTTATGGTATGATAATATTAAAATAATACTTAAAGTTAAAATTTCTATCAAAATAATAAAAAAGAATTCCAAATTGTATTATTTTAAATCTGTATATTCTAAATAACAACAAATTTCAAATTTTAATTAATATTTAATTTTACTTTTCCTAGTATGTAATTTATTTTTTTTTTACTAAGAAGCTTTTATTTTTATTTTTGTGATCATTTGCTTTCTCAATCTACCACAGGGGAGCATATGATGCTACAGGCTTATTAAACCTGGAGCCCCAAGCGCCTTCTAGTAGAAAGCCCAGGTGGGTGATTCTAGTAGACATATGGTATTGTTTCTGTAAGGTAGAGAAATTTACTTAATAGTTGATAATACCATTCCTCCCTATGGGAAGGAATCAGAATATTGCCAATACCTCTACTTGCTTTAAAAGGCAGCAAATTGAATTGCGCTACATCATCAGCCGGTGTAAAGTTCTGTCAAACAGTATGAGGAGTTCTAAACAAGACTTTGACGATTTATCCTATCTTGGATGTGTGCGGAGACAACAGGTGAGAGGACGTACCATAGTGCATGATGTTTACAGATGATATAGTTTTGATAGGAGAAAATCTGAAATAAGTTAGCAATAGGCTTGAGGAATGGAGATAATAATTGTAGAAAAGAGACTAATGATAAGTAGAAGTATAACAGAGTATGAGTTTAGAAAAACAGGACTAGGTAGCTAATAACAATAAGCGTTTTTAGGTGAGATTGAGACTTCTAAGTACCTAAGATTTATTGGATAAAAGTAGTATTTTTGAACTCTAGTTAAGAATAAATTGTGTATTCTAAATAGATCCATACAAAGGTAGTGTTATGACTGTGGGGGTTCTACATTTCTGTTTCTGTCATTATCAATAACACAATTACGCCATTTTATTAAATATTTTATTTTATTGATACACAATTTGAATATTGACAAGTATCTATGAACAAACTGTTTTATTAATATATGTATATTATTATCTATAAACTCTACTCTACACGTTTACGGTCTATTATAGTTTTTAATAATAATACTGTAAATACCACCTACAAGTCCAACATCAGTGACAATGATTTTTGAAATGAGATAACCTTGATATTTTGCTGACTATTTCAAGTTTTTTTATCAAATGTACGATTTGCTGACTGACAAAAACATCATGGAGTGGGGAGGTAGGCACCCTCCTACCCGTCCGTTCGGAATGCCCCTGAGTGCTTTAAAATTTACAATAAATTGTCTTTAAGGTCTTTTTAAATTAATTGGGTGTTCCCAATATCGTCTTAATAATGTTTTTTTGTTTTTAATGAGTGACGTTTATATAACACATATGCCATAGCTTTGGCTTCAACACCATCTAAAATCCCGTCCATTTTATGTACCAAATATACACTGTGTATTATACTAATGTTTATAATATATCTATATAATTTATAAACTATATAGGTACCAAAAAAAAGAAATAGACAGAAAATCGATTTATTTCTAAAATAAATAGAAAACTGCAGGGCAATCTTATCAAGGAAAACTGTTTTTACTAACTGCTCCATGTGTAAGCAACCAGCTGTAGTGGTTTTTTATCTATTCTAATCGTTTAACTGCGTCTGCTGGCGGTTAAACTCTGTGTGTAAGCAGCTTGAATGATTTCCTACGACCTAAACTTAAAGTGGAATATCTCGTCAATGGCTGGATAGAAATCAAAAATATCAACACTAAAATGTATTTTAACTAATAATCCATCTATTTATGAACTTTTTGAAAATCAAAAATAGGTAGTGGTTTTATCCTTAAAAATAAGGGTGACAAAAAAAAGGATAAATATAAAATTGTAGAGCTGCTTGTTTTTTAAATGTTCTAGAAAACAAATTCTGGACGAAGTTAATATTTTCTGAGATATATCTACTCAAATGGATCACCTGGTATAGAAATGTATAACATGTATAACCTACAAACTTGAATATTTATTTCATAAAAACTATCTAAATTTATTTTTATTATTCTGTGTGTTCAATTCAAATAATATATTATGTTAAAAACCCATTACCTAACTGAGTATGAAACAAATTATTTAAGTGATAATTTTTTTATTTTTATAGGATCATCAATGGATAAAAAAAGCAGAAAGTGAACCAGTTGACATTGCTGGATGGGTTTGTAAAATCAAAGGTTTGACTCCAACTACTCCTACTAGAATGGCGTCAAATTCAGCTTCATGAGTCTGCTCACTGCTCCTAATACAAAGGCTCACTGCTGCGGACTCCTATATGGACAGAAATGTCTAGAGGTGTGCCCCTCCCAAGCTTCAAAATATTATTGCTTTTGCCAAGTAATTTTTTTTAACTATGTATATGTAGCCATTTAAAATAGGGTGGTAATTTAATAATTGTATACTAATTAGGAAATTTGGATGTTTGTAAAATAATATTAGGGATTAATTAACAATTGATCCCTTGGGTGTTTTTATACATTTTTCTACTTGTATTGTGTGATTTAAACATTAATTATTTTGTATTTATTGTGTGATATTGTTATAATATTTGATAGGTTTGATTGTTTTTATTTTAAAACTTTTAGCTTATCATATTAAATGCATTGCATGTAAGTAGTTAAGTATTATATTGGAGTAGACATCTAGCAAGCTTAAATTTCTTATAGTATAATCACCGAACAAATAAATATTTCAAACAAGATAATTAATCATTATAATATTTTAACTTAAATCTATTTAATACTTTATATTTTAATGACGTAAATTAAAATTGTCTTCTAGTTGTTAATCCTAACATTTCATTATCATATACAAGAAAATTTCTTTGTACATTTAATTTAATAAATTATTCATTGTTATGTAGATAATTTATTTTTAATTTTTTCCTTATTTTGATTAAATTTTATTTGTCTAATATAATTTAATTTTCCAATGTAAATATGTTTATTTATTTAAGTTCAATCTTAAGTTGTTCCTGCTACTTTAAAGTGCACCCTTTTATTTGTTCTACTCTGTTTGCACCCACTCTGTTCCCCTTTTGTGTTGTTATCCTCATTTTATTGTATCTATTAAATAAAAAATCAGTATAGTTTTGCGAATGCTTTTAGCCAATATTACCATCTGTTGCTTTTAAAACAATATTAATATGTTATATTTGTTATTTTTTACCAGTACGGTTATTGTTCATTTATATTATATTACTATATTTAATTAATTGTAATAATATTTATTACATAGACTAGTACTTAAAAAATGTAAAATAATCAAAATGACATTGAGTGTCTTGGCATATCATTAGGCCAGTGGGAGCCTTAGTAGCGGGAGCAGTAAACTACATATTATTATATTATAATATTTTATTATGACAAAATGTTGGTCAAAAACATAACATTTATTTTATTCCTAAACATATTTATTATTATTATTCATACGATATATATTGTATCATAGAAAAATAAAATAAGTTTTATTTGGATTTAAATTAAATAATTCAGTTGAACTATTTGGTGAATTTAAAATAATTATTTATTACCTATTTCCCATTGTATTCCATTATCTGTGCTGTTGCTTTTTTTCTACATTTATGGGTCAATATCTAAAAGAATGATCCTTTTTGTATATAGACCTTGAATGATATCTGTATACTTAAAAATGATATACCTACTTAATTAATACAAAAAAAAAGATGGTTAGTATCCTTGATAATAACATTATAAATATTTAGTGTATTGACTGAAAAAAATTCAAGGTTTAATAGTGTGTCTAATTGATTTCCGTATCAAAATCAAACGTGTGAATATAGATTTCTTTTACTTATTAAATTACAGTATAAAACAATTATTACAAACATTTGAGTTGAATGTACCTATTAAATATTTCAATATACGTAATGCACCGATTATAATAAATTAAATATTTTGTTTAAACCTTGAGTAAACCATAATATATTGGACACCTGCAATGGCTTATTCAAAATTTCCAAGTCTAAAAAAGTTACTTTTATTAATCTTTTTTTTTGTACATAACGATAGAATTATTGCACACTGTAAATTAAATTGTATATATTTTAAATTGCAATTCATTTGAATATTGGATGATGAACAATATTGAAGGTACAAAATATAATTTTACTGTAATATGTCTTGACTTTGGATGACATGTATATAATTATGATTAACAAACTTATTAAAACTTTGTTAAAAATAAAAATATTTAATGTATTATTGTTGAGGAATCATAATGATTAATAATGTTTCACTTAAAACTGTAAAATTAATATAAAATGTTAGATATTCATATGTATTAATTAACTACCTTGGATTAATGTCCATATATGTTTAATTGTGTATCCATAAAGTTGCTAAATGAAAAGTTTACTATGATTATTATTTACCTATCAAATCTAGTTTTCTGAGATAAATAAAAATAATTATAAAGTTTTCGTTAAGACATTTTATATTCTATAACATTCATTTTTTTATGATAGCATAATGTTTAGCAGTAATTTTATTATTTGAAATTTTAACAGAGTGGTTACCTATTATTATATTTATGATTTTCTGAATCTCAATGTAAAATTTTAAGTTGTAAATTTAAACTCAGTGATGAATATACTTAACATATATACATAACTACTGTCTGTTAACAATAGAAATCTTGCTTTAAGCAAAAAATGACAAGACTAGAGATTTTTAAATAAAAAACTTTTCTGTAGGATTTTGGATCTAGTTGATGGATTGAGGAAGTAATATTTTTAAAACTTGGAAAAAATCAGAATGTTTGCGGTATTAATTATTTTCAATTTTATTGTAATTTGGTTAAAATTAATGGTAGGCACCTGACATTTTCACAGAATGATTACCTTCCCTAAGCCTTTTCTGTACATGATCAAAACATGTCGGTGATTACCTAATAGGCAATTGTCATATTTTAGTTTTTATTTGGTTTTGTATGGATTGGTACCTACAATTGTTTGGCCAACCGGAAATACTTGTAAATTTAACACGAAATTCATTATAAATTATACTTTGTGGTTAATTAAAAAAGTTGAGAGTAATAAAGTAGTTCTTTTTTTTTATAATCTTGTTTTAATTTAAAATTTTTACAAAAATCGTAAAAATCACAAGTTTAATCGAACTTCACTTACAATCGAATTTCATTAACAATGTGTTATTTTTACATATAGATATAAATTAAATAACTGTATGTATCTTACCTTACCAAAGTCTCACCTACAATGTGAATATTCGTCAGCAGGATCAGTACCTACCTATCACCATTTTTTTTGTACTTAGGTATTTTAATAATATTAGTAGGTACCTACATATTAGAAATAATTTATTTGTAAAAAGTATTATTTATATGCATTCTAGACGTTTTTTAATGTCTAAATAATTTCTGATTTTGATAGTTTTTTAGTTAGTGAGATTTTAACTATTATCTAACCTTTAGTAGGTACAATTAACACTACGTTAGGTACCTACAAGTGCGATCATAGATGCAACTAGAGAAGTGCTATGAAGTCTATAGCAAAATTAGCACCTACCAAATTGAAAATGAATTGTGTAGTTGCTTATTGTAAAGAGAATTGTGGGGATATAGCCCTCATGGGTGTTTGATGTATTCATAATTTTAGCACCTCCAAAGTTGGTTGTCTAAATGTGCCTATGAGTACGATGGTTATTACACCTTATTTTCTATAACATTCTTTAAAATATTTATCAAATAGGAAGTTCCTGTTGACAAATCATGAAGTGTATTATTAAATTTATCGATAGTTTTATCTGCAGAGTTTACTTTCTTTTACTACTAAGTACCTAACTATTTATGATCAATTTGTTTCATGATTCTTTAAAATTTAAATTTGAATTGTATGGGTAAGTATATAAAATTTGGAAATTAATACAAACATAAAATTGTATAACCCGCAGTGAATTAAAAGTAAATACTTGGTTCCTAGAATACATACTATACAAGATCTAAAATTATAATATTATTGTTTAACACTATTGTAAATTGTGCCCAAAATGAATAATTCAATTTTTCTACGGATGACCTACTAGCGTACCTAGATACCATTACTTTTATATTTTTATGCGTCCGTCGTTTTAGTCGTAGTCCCAAAATTCACGTTCAGTGCCGCACCATTTCATTTCTTCAATAAACGGGATACGATTCAACGATGACGTTCCTTCGCTCATCGGTTGATCGGCGTCTCCTCATCCCCCCCTTCCTCCTTTTTTTTCGGGACGCGACTAGGCTCGGTAAGTCGACGTTGATTTTTCGCGTCTCCGTGTAACGTTATATTATTTATCCTATTTCATAGTGGTTTTTATATTTTTTCTATCTTATTTGCGTTCGATTTTTTTCTTTTAGTTTATAATAATCGTGTCGTTGGTTGCATATAAAATTAATGAATAAGTATGAACGCAGTCCAATAATATCATACGTCAATGGCGGCGGTAGCTGTTGTCGCGGATTGGAATAAAACGTCGTCGGTAATGGTGAGTAATGATTTATTGCAATTAAATCCGCTTAGGTTTTATACGTTCTCTATAAAAGTCTAGGTAAATAATAATATAATTAATATATTGTACAGTCAATCGGAATATGTCTTTTTTTTTTTTTTTTGTAATAGTGGTTTTATGGATTTACGGAATTTTTGATTTGGTTTTTCATAATTAACATTTTCCCATTGTGGTGGTGTGTTTAAATTCATCCAAGAAAATATAGACATTATTAATAATAGCTGAATCCATTTTTTTTTAAATAATCATAAGCTGTTGAGTAAAATTTAATTATTTCAGAATTAAAATTGTTGAAATTATTTTTAAGATTTCATCGTCAGTAAAAAGCTATTTCACACTTAGAGGTATATATTTTCCTTATGTCGTTTATCTATAATTTTTGCAGTTTTTTTTAATGTATCAATTACTTCAATTATACTTTTTTACTTCCTTAATATTATTTTGAAAAATGCTTAGTTAACTATGTACAAATAGTATGTAAATTTCACCTATATCTGTTAAAAAAATTTAAAATTGTTTTAGGAGCTTTTTTCCAAATAAAAAATATGATTTTAATGCTTAAAACATTTTTAATATTTTTTCTATTAGATAAAGGGATAACCAACAAGTTTTTGAGTGACTTAGTATTGCAGAGTAATTTTGCTCAACAAAATGACAAAATTCTTTAAGACTTTCTGTTCTTTCAGTGTATATAGATAAATAATTGAACATTTTTACTATTATTGTTTCTGTATCAAATGATAAAACTGTAACAGTCTGTATCAATTATGCATATGTGCAAGGTATCTTATTCCCACCATATTTTCATTAGTAGTTGATTTTAATTTAGAAAATAACATTATTTGCCCCTTTTTAAACCTCCAAAATTAGTGTTTGCATTGTCACCACAATATGCTATGCACTATTTATTATCAAGTAAGTGTTTTGAGAATATTTTCACAAAAAAAAAAAAAAATTGTATCTGAAGTTTCATTTGGTAATGAATCTGCTTTTAAAAGTTTATATTGAATACCATAATATTTATCAAATATTGAAGAACAAGTAGGAATACTTTTATTGCTCTGTGATTATTAGCATTAGTAGGTATACTATAAAAAGGTATTTCACTTCTTTTACAATTTGTTTGTCACTAAATGCTGCAAGAATATTAATAATCAAAGTGGCTGTTTTTGTTCTGGCTGATGAAATCTTCAGTGTTATTTTTGAATCTGCGTTTATCATTTGCATTAATTTGGTGGAACAATCCGTTGATCTGAAACTTTGGTGATGAAGTATGGTATTGTAAGTTTGAGTAAATTTAGTTGCATAAACTTTAGTTTCTTCATTTGAATTAGGTTTTACAAAAAAAAAACTAGATTTTTTTTTGAATAACCTGCAGCACTTATTTTTAATTTATGTTTATTTGATTTTAAATGTTCCGTAATATTAGATCGACCACCATATTCAATACTTAAAAATTAATGACACCGTGTGCTTTCGAATTCTGTTTCATAACTACTTTTTTTCATGAAATCCCATTCTTCAGAATAATTATTTTTATTAATATACTGATGTCAAGCATTTGTATTAAATTATTATAGTAAACAATTAAATTAAGTTAAATGAGAACGAACACCAAGAAATAATAAAGAATAAACTGTCGTGATCATACGCATCACACTACTCAACCTTACTGATGGTTTAATACATAATAATGAAATAGCGTTAATAACTTATAATTATTATTTATTATATAAACGTTTATCGAATATTGCTTATCGTCTATAAGAAACGTTTGAATACGAACAAATAAATTGTATAAATAGATCGGATGATACCGACATACATCCGATAATATCGTCGTGTGTTTAAACGGCCCAATAAATAATATGATTAAAACGAGAAAACAAGAGATACCATCCAAATTATATAAATTTTAACATACACTACGAATTCATATTGACGCATTAATCCGGGACACATTGTAGTCTCGATAAAG